TTTTGGAAAATGACAAAAAAAAAAAAGAAATTTTTTTTTTGTTACACAAAATTGTCACTTAAATGATTTAATGCTCACACATGCCATGGGTATATGTGGAATTACTCCCCAAAATACATTCCGCTACTTCTCCCGAGTATGGGGGTACCACATGTGAGAGACTTTTTGGCAGTATAGCCAAGTACAGGACCCCAAAATCCAATAAGCACCTTCAGGTTTTTAAAGGGCTTTATTCCTCATTACACTTCCTGACTACTTATCACAGCTTCGGAGGCCCTGAAATGCCAGGATAGCACCAACCCCCACCAAATGACCTATTTTTGGAAAGTAGACACCCCAAGGAATTTGATAAGAAGCATTGTTAGTATTTTGCAGATCTCGTTTGTTGCCACAAGTTATTGGAAAATAAAGAAAGGAAACAAAAACATATATTTTTTTCTTTTTTTATATTTCAAAACCTTGTGAGAAAAAATGAGATCTGCAAAATACTCACCATGCCTCTTTTTAAATTCCTTGGGGTGTCTACTTTCCAAAAAGGGGTCATGGGGGGGGGGGGGTTGGTGCTATCCTGGCATTTCAGGGCCTCCGAAGCTGAGAGAGGAAGTGAGGAAGTGAAATGAGGAAGTTACGCACCTTCAGGCTTTCAAAGTAGTCATTGGATTTCAGGCTCCTGTTTGTGGCTAGGCTCCCAAAAAGTCTCACACATGTGATATCCCCATACTCGGTAAACATAGCAGAATGTATTTTGGGGTGTAAATCCACTTATACCCATGGCTTGTGTGAGAAATATATAATTTAAATGACAACTTTGTGTAAAAAAAATATGTTTTTGTCATTTTCAAAAAACTTGTGGAAAAAAAATAAATCTTCAATGGACTCGATATGCCTCTCAGCAGATAGCTTAGGGTGTCTACTTTTCGAAAAGGGGTCATTTGGGGGTGTTTGTACTGTCCTGGTATTTTAGCACCTCAAGAAATGGGCAATCAGAAAGTAAAAGCTGTGTAAATTCTATTATCTATACCAGGGGTGGGCAACTGTGGCCCTCCAGCTGTTGTAGAACTATCCCATGAGGCATTGCAAAACTGACAGTTACAAGCATGACTCCCAAAGGCAGAGGCATGATGGGACTTGTAGTTCACCAACAGCTGGAGGGCCACAGTTGCCCACCCCTGATCTATACCATAGTTTGTAGATGCTATAACTTTCACACAAAGCAATCAATGTACACTTAATAAATCAAATTTTAATTGATTACTGTTGGTTTGTTACCTTGCCTTTTGTGCTAGTGGCTACCATATTATCTGTGCTCGCTTCATTTGTAATATATACTTATTGGGATTTTTTTTAACCAAAGACATGTAGCAGAATACATTTTTGCCTAAATTTATGATGAAATTTGAGGTTTTTTATACTTTTTATGACAGAAATGAGAAAATATCGGGTTTTTTAAAATTTTGTTTTCAAAAAATTTTGTTTATAGCACCAAAAATAAAAAGTGCACAGGTGATCAAATACCACTGAAAGAAAGCTCTATTTGTGTGAAAAAAAGGATGTAAATGTGATTTATTTACCATATTGCATGACCGTGCAATTGTCAGTTAAACTAGTGCAGCTCTGTATAGCAAAAAATGGTGTAAATTGCAGTATCTATACCATAGTTTATAGACGATATAACTTTCACACAAAGCAAACAATATACATTTATTGGGATTTTTTTTACTAAAAACATGCAGCAGAATACATTTTGGCCTAAATGTATGACTAAATTTGAGTTTCCTATATAATTTTTATAGCCAAAAGTAAAAAATATAGTTTTTCTTCAAACTTTTGGTCTTTTTTTTTGTTTATAGCAAGAAAACTAAAAAGAGCACAGGTGATCAAATACCACTGAAAGAAAGCTCTACTTGTGTGAAAAAAAACCCATAAATTTCGTTTGGGTACAGCATTGCATGACTGCGCAATTTCAGTTGAAAAAGTGCAGCGTCGAATAGCAAAAAGAGGCCTGGTCATTAAGGGGGGTAAATCCTCAGGAGGGCAAGTGGTTAATGTAACTTGTGCTTTGCCATCTTGTGGTCATTTTGGTTATTGCACCATCTTTTCTGTTTTCCATCCCGTGTTCCTCCTACTTGGGATGTATTTCCTTTTCACTCTGTCTTTATTGGACTGAATGTGGCTGCTAGTGTCTAAGCCACATATAATCTGCTCACATGTGTGAACACATTACCATGTTTTGAGTTGCAAATACTGTCTTTTCAATCATCTGCCACATCTTGTTGTCTGCTGTAACTTCTGCATGCAATAAAAATTTCCTTAGATGAGAAAAGGGTGTTGGTGAGTTCAGCTATACGATAAAGACTGTCTGCAGTGATTGTACCTGCTTATACAGGCCAGGCATAGTGGTCTCAGTATGGGATAAATCACTAATACAACAGTACACCAGTCAGAATATTCAGCATTAGCTATGGCCAGCATGTATAAAGAAAAGCTTACTTGTTTCACAGTTTCTACCCTCATAACCTTCTGGACAGGTGCAGACATATAACTGAAAATGGTCACTGCAGATACCTCCATTCAAGCAGGGGTTGGAGAGGCAGTCATCGGCATCTGTAAACAAACAATATATAATATTTGTCTATAATGACCCCTCCCCAACTTCCTATTAGAATGCTTTGTTTTAGCATACCTGTGTATGTCCTCCAAAATTCTCTCTAGCAGAAGAAAAAATAGTAACAAAATGTAACAATTATTTACTGGTCTAAACATATGAACAATTATTATAATTCAATTGAGCCCCACATTTATATCAACTAAAAATATATTCCAGTGGTATCAAAACATATACAGTGCACTATTCTTCCCACTAGTACTAATGATGGGACACTATTCTTCCAACTGACACCAATGATGATGGGGCACTATTGCTCTGACCAATAATGATGGACCACTATTCCTCCCACTGACACCAACAACAGGGCATCATTTTTCCCACTGGCACCAAAGATGGGGCACTATTTCTCCCATCAATACCAACTATTCCTACCACTGACACCAACAATGGTGCACTATCCTTCACACCAATTCAAATGATTGGGCACTATTCCTCCCACTGATACCAATGATGGGACTATTTTCTTCTTGCTAACATGAATGACGGGGCACTATTCCTCCTACTGACACCAACAATAAGGCATTATTTGTCATACCAATACCAAGGATGGGGAACTATTCCTCCCACCAATACAAACTGGAAGGATTTGCACATCTTTTGTTTCAACACACCTGGAATGTATTTGGCTCAAAGCACACTAGGAGCAGACAAAAACACCAGAAAAACACTGGATAAAAAGCAATCATATGAGAGTTTTTTTTCCAGTATTTTTCCATTTTTCGGCTGACAATTTGCTGACATTTAGCAATGTATATCTGATTGTTAAGGAGCAGGTGACAAGCTGGTCAGCCGCATCCTTAACAACCAATTACTAATCAAGAATTGCCCGTGATTAAAATTTAAATACAAAAACAGTCTGGGGTTCCCCCCCCCCCCGAATCCATACCAAGCCCTTCAAGTCTTGCATGGATTTTAAGGGGAACCACACACCAAAATTTAAAAAAAAAAACGCATGGGATCCCTCCACAAGTAAGGGTCTGGTATGGGATTTGAGAGAACCCCCACACCAACATTTAAAAAAATGGCATGGGGGTCCCCCTCAAAATCCATACCAGACCCTTATCTGAGCATGCAGCCTGGCAGCCATTGTTCCCCTCCTGAACCATTCCAGGCCACATGCCCTCAAAATGGGGGGTGCTTTGGGGTAGGGCCCCCCAAAGCACCTTGTCCCCATGTTGATGGGGACAAGGGCCTCTATCCCACATCCCTGGGTAGTGGTTATGGGGGTTTGCAGGCAGGGGGCTTATGGGTATCTGGAAGACCCCTATAACAAGGGGGCCCACAGATCCCACCCTCCCCCATCTGAATGATTCATTCACCAAAAAAAGTGTCAAAAATAAATAAAAACACAGAGACAGTTTTGAGAAGTCGTTTATTGAAAAAAAAAAAACAATGTCCCCTGAAGTAGATCCAACATCAATCACGATAAACTCCACCACCGCCGACCTGGAAAAAAAAAAAAAAGCTCTGCACTTGTCGCTGGCTCCCACCGTCTGACAGCTCTTCTGCCTCCTGCCACAATAAAAAAAAAACTAAGGGGCAGGATCACCCATCAACATCACCTGGTGACCCTGCCTCCCTGTGGTGTGATTGACTGGGGCATGCTGGACCCCCACAACCATCGCCTAGGATTGTGGGGAAGAGGCCCTTGTCTTCACCAGTCCTCCATGTTGAGGGCACATGGCTGGGTATAATTCAGGAAGGGGGGGCTCACTTGTCCCCCCCTTTCCTGGCCTGCCAGGCTGCATGCTCGGATGTGGGTCTGGTAAGGATTGAGGGGGGACCCCACACTTTTTTTTTTTTATTTTAGCCAGGGGTTTTACTTAAAATCCATACTAGACCCGGTGGATCTAGTATGGATTGGAGGGGAACTCCTGTGCCATTTTTTTAAATCAAATTTTAATTGCCAGCAATTCTTTTGTTTACATTTAGGTGTCAGCAGGGAAGCCTGCTGACAGCTGATGAGTCAACCATTGTTAAGGACATAGCGGATGGCTTGCCGGCCCAGTCCTTAGAAAAAGAAACACGCTGGAAACTGGCTCTTAGCAGAAATTAGCAACATTTAGGAGCATTCTGCATTTTTTCTGCCAGCAAATCGCTCCCAAAAATGCAAAAAAAGATTTTTTTTTTTTTTTTTTTTTTTTTTTTTTTTTTTTTTTTTTTTTTTTTTTTTTTTTTTTTTTTTTTTTTTTTTTTTTTTTTTTTTTTTTTTTTTTTTTTTTTTTTTTTTCCGCTCCTAGAAGCTGAAGCTTCAAAAATGCTTCTGAACTGAAATACTGTAGTGTGCATGGGTACATAGGATAACACTATTTGCTTGCAGAAAAAAAAGTTAAAGTGTTACTAAACACACAACAGTAAAATCAGTCTGTATATGCAGTAAAGTGTTATACTCACTGTGGAACCTAAGGGGGTTAATTTTCTGCAAAAAGGATGTTTGATCCTGTAATGCCTATGAAATATGTTGACCTTGGAACTTTTGTTTCTTGGGTAATTTTTACAATACAGCATCGTTTCCCAGATGCCAGGAGCATGAGAAATGACTGATGTCATTTCTCTAGGTCCAAGGAACAGAGTCACAACATATTACACTGCTTAAAGCAGATAAGAACTTGTTTGTGGGATTAAACATGTTCATGACATCTAGAAATGTTACATTAGATAAGAAAGTTTAGGGTAGATAAGAAGCTGCTTTGAAGCAAAAGAGTGATATTCTTAGATAACGCAGTGTAGTGGCTGGGCGTGACTCTGTTGTCTCCACGGAACCTTTCTGCTAGCTCCTCCTAGAGTGGGTGTGGTGCCTGCCTGCCTACTTTGGGGAAGCTGCCAGAAAAAGGGTTTAAAAACGTGGAGTTTAAGTGTAATCAATGGGAGCCTTCCTATGCAGACAAGGACGCTCTGATGCTGGGACTCTTGCCAAGGCTATATGGGCTCATCGTTTGGTCGCGTTTACGGCTTCCCCGTGACCCCCTGTGTATTATGGTTCCGAAGGGGTCTGTTGCTTCCCGTCTTCCCATAGCTTTGATAATGTATTAATTCTAATGCTGTCAAAAGATGCATCTATTTCATTCTGTAATGCTCACATTATTATTGGTGTTATTATGCAGATTGTAATGACTATAAGATATATCCTCCTGTGTGTCATGTGATATTAAAAGTGAAGGTTTTGACAGTGCAAGAATATCGCAGTTGGATGCTGTTATTTCTTGGAGTGCTGAGTGAATGTTATGATGTGCCAGGGCAGGTTTCATTTGGTAGAGGGTCTTTCATGTGATTAGAATAATTAATGGTGTAAATACTGGTTAAATGTACCTGTGTGTATGTAATTGTGTGTATATGACTTGCTTTTAGTTATTGCATCCAGCATTGCATTACAGATCCTGACTGCTCTGATCCTCCCCTTCTACTGTCCCCAATAAATCTCTCGATAGAACAGAGGCTTGGAGACAAACTGCACTTGCTTATTTTGGTGTGTATTGCTAGAGAATTTTTCTTTTCTTGGGAGAGTGCATGTGATCAGCACAGGGCCAATCAATGCTGTCCAGACAGAAGTCAGGGGTTCTGCATCCTCCTACAGCAGAATGAAAAACCTCCTACAAGCTTTAGCAAGTGCTCTGCCAGACACTGATATAAGTCACAAGACTGCTCTAACTGCTGATGAGAAAAGGTATTTAGCAGTTTATATTTACTAAAATAATTGCATTTCCATGTTCTGTGTACTGCAGGAGAACAGATATATTGAATGTAGGGTCCTGGGTTTAGTAACACTTTAAAATTAAGCCAGTGTGCATGGAGCCTTACACAGATTTAGAACCAGTTCACACTATTTAAATGCAGTCCAGATGCGTTCCGGATGCGTTTTTGCATTTGCGTTCTTGGTGCATTTTTGATGCATTTTTGACACATTCCAGTGCGTTGTGTATGCATTTGAGTTCATTTTTCCCCTTTTTTCTTCAATCTAAATAGAGGCGTGTGCTTTCCAGTGCGTTTTTAGTGCGTTCCGGTGCAGTTTTGATGCATTTTCCTGCGTTCCAGTACAGTTCTGTGCAGAAAATATGCAGCATGTTCTACTTTTGTTTCTGCAACTGGAACGCACTGGAACTACAAGCACTGATGTGAACTATGACGTTGACAACCATATAACCTACTTTCTGTGCGTTTTGGATACAGAAAAAAAGCAACTGAAGCACATGTAGTGTGAACTGGCTCTTAAACTGATAGTTCAATTGGGCTTTAAACAGACATCTCATTGTATAAAATTCTAATAAAAATAAATATAGCATTTCGTCTCTGTGGGCAGACCACAACCACCAATTCTTACAGCCTCCCATTTTTTTTGTTAATGGTACTTGTGTAATGTCATGAAATCTATGACCTAACATTATGGTCTCTTATTAGAGAAATGTATGTGATTACCAAACGTCGCTCATCCTTGAAAATTTCCCTGGCCTCTTCATATGAGCAGGTTTCTTCAATGCATTCCCGCTCCAAAGAGGGTGCCTTCCACTCCTCAAAAAAGGAGTTGGCTCTCCTCGTCCTACTCTTCAACACACTGGCCGCCTCTTTATTGTTTAGAAAAACTGCAAAGCAAATCGCATAAAACAACCAAAGAGATGGGTAAATATATATTGGTTCTAATACACTATAAGTGTTGCAAAAACAAGCATTTGCAAAACGCATCACTTTATACATTCAGAAATAATGCATTTGTTACGGGAATAATTAAAGGAAAACTAAAGGCAAAACTTTTTTCCATTAAAGTAAGTGAGGGAGGGTTTTTAACCTCTGTGTCCCAATGGGGAGGTTTCCCTTCACTTCCTGTCACATATCCAGAACAGGAAGTGAGCACAAATCCATGGTTGATACCAGAACTAGTGTCCCCATTGGAAGATTTCTACTCAATTCCTGTTCTGGTGACAACCCAAAATTTGTGATTTTCTTGTAAATTTCACTCTCAGTAATAACAGTAAACAGGACAGATAGAGAAGATGAATCTCTCTAATGGGGGCATAGACAGCAATAACAATCTGACAGGTGTTCACATCTGGAGGTGCTCTCCAATCTGTGAAAAACAAAAATTGTGCATTTAAATGTACTTTAAAGCTTGATTTTAGTCCCATCCCCAACCACCCACTGAGCTTTCCTATTGGTCATTTAATGTGATGGATAACTTATTTGTCCAATAGAATGATTGGGAAGCAGAAGGTGCAGGACCAGACTTGGTATATTGTCACAACAGACTGATGGACAGACATTGATGAATTCATAGATAAGATTAGGCACTGTAGGTGATACAATCAATCTTAGCCACTCATGTATGAGCTCAGTATAGAAAAGGTAGCTTTATTGGTCTCCTTTGGCACTGATATGGATTAATTCAAGGCAAAAGTCACATGGCGAACCCTATGGTTAGCTCTGATGAAGAAGGGTCTCCCTTCAAAATGCGTCAGCCTCACTTTGAGAGTCTACCCCTCGTGACATGACTCACACTGGCTCTACATTCCCTAGTTCCTTTGAGGATCTCTACTGCTTGTTTTACATCCTTGTTTGGGAGTATATACAGTTGCAAGAAAAAGTATGTGAACCCCTTGGGATTACGTGGAGTTTTGCATGAATTGGGCATAAAATGTGCTCTGAACGTCATCTAAGTCACAACAATAGAAGAACACAGTCTGCTGAACATAATGCTACACAAACATTAGATGTTGCCATGGTTTAATTGCACATAACATGTAAACATTCACAGTGCAGGGAGGAAAAAGTATGTGAACCTTTGGACTTAATAACTGGTTGACCCTCCTTTGGCAGCAATAACCTCAACCAAACGTTTCCTGTAGTTGCAGATCAGACCTGCACAACGATCTGGAGTAATTTTGGACCACTCCTCTTCACAAAACTGTTTCAGTGTAGCAATATTCTTGGGATGTCTGGTGTGAATCGCTCTCTTAAGGTCATGCCACAGCATTTCAATCGGGTTGAGGTCAGGACTCTGACTGGGCCACTCCAGAAGGCGTATTCTGTGCTGTTGCAGCCATTGTTTTGTTTAATTACTTGTATGCTTTGGGTCATTGTCCTGTTGCATCACCCATCCTCTGCGGAGCTTCAGTTGGCGGACAGATGGTCTTACGTTTTCCTGCAAAATGTCTTGATAAACTCTGGAATTCATTTTCCCATCAATGACAACAATCCGTCCAGGCCCTGAGGCAACAAAGCAGCCCCAAACCATGATGCTCCCTCCGCCATGTTTCACAGTGGGGATGAGGTTTTGATGTTGGTGTGCTGTGCCTTTTTTTCTCCACACATAGTGTTGTGTGTTCTTCCCAAACAACTCAATCTTGGTTTCATCTGTCCACAGTATATTTTGCCAGTAGTGCTGTGGAACATCCAGGTGCTCTTTTGCAAACTTCAAACGTGCTGCAATATTCTTTTTGGACGGGAATGGCTTCCTCCGTGGTGTCCTCCCATGTACTCCATTCTTGTTTAATGTTTTCTTTATTGTAGATGTGTCAACAAAAATGTTAGCATGTGCCAGAGATTTCTGTAGGTCTTTAGCTGACACTCTGGGATTCTTCTTTGCCTCATGCAGCATTCTGCGCTGTGCTCTTGCAGTCATTTTTACAGGATGATCACGCCTAGGGAGAGTAGCAACAGTGCTAAACTTTCTCCATTTGTAGACAGTCTGTCTTACCGTGGACACATGAACATCAAGGCTTTTGGAGATACTTTTGTAACCCTTTCCAGCTTCATGCAAGTCAACAATTCTTGATGGTAGGTCTTCTGAGAGCTCTTTTCTGCGAGGCATGGTTCACATCAGACAGTGCTTCTTGAAACCAGTAAACCCAAAACAGGTGTGTGTTTTTTAAGGGCAGGACAGCTGTCAGCAACACATCCAATATCATCACACTGATTGGAGTCAAGGTTGGCTCACTCCTGGCTCCAATTAGCTCTGGGAGAAGTCATTAAGCTAGGGCCTCACATACTTTTTCCTCCCTGCACTGTGAATGTTTACATGTTATGTGCAATTAAACCATGGCAACATCTAATGTTTGTGTAGTATTATGTTCAGCAGACTGTGTTCTTCTATTGTTGTGACTTTGATGACGTTCAGAGCACATTTTATGCCCAATTCATGCAAAACGCCACGTAATCCCAAGGGGTTCACATACTTTTTCTTGCAACTGTATATTTTGTTTATTAAAATCACAGAATTACTGAGATAATGTGCAAGGTTGGTGTGCTCTTTTTGCTTCACTTCACAGTATAGAAAAGAATCACCCCTTTTTATAATAATCACATTTTGTTCCTTTGCAGCCTGGAATGAAGACAGACACAGTTTTTGTTTTATCCAGTTATATTTACTGCAACATATAACATCCAAGTGAAAGATATAACACCAACATGTCAGAAAAAAAAATCAAAAACATCACTGAGTTGGAAAAAAGGATCACTTGTAAACTCAATTAAGTGTAGCGTAGCTAATCACCTTCTCAATGGCAAACAAAGCCACCTGATTTTCAGCTGTGATCATTTTGATTAGCTCAGTATAAAAGAGCTTTCCTGGAGCATTTCAGTCCCTGATACTGCAACTGAAGCAAACAATCAACTATGGGTGGCAAGATCACTGGGATAAAGTTTTGGACAGGCACGAGTCAGGAGATGGATACAAAAACATTTCAAAGGCTTTATAAATGCCTAGAAGCACAGTGAAGTCTATTACTAAGAAGTGGAAGGTATTTGGAGCAATGTCCTGATCCTGGAGGGTCTGGTTGTATCAAACTGGATGAAAGAGCCAGGAGGAAACTGGCTACTGAGACGCCTACAGCAACTCTTAAGCAGTTGCAGGAATGTATGACAAAGAGTGATTATTGTATTCATGTGGCAAAAATATCACAAATTCTCCACAAATGTGGCTTGTATGGGAGGGTTGCAAGAAAAATGCCAAATGCAGTCACCACTGAGCTTTGCCAAAACACACCATGAAGATTCTGAGGCCACAGGGAAAAAAGGTGTTATGGTCTGATGAGACTAAAATGGAATTATTTGGCCTCAACACTAAACGATATGTCTGGCAGAAATCCAATACAGCTCATCATCCAAATAACAGCATTTCTGCAGTAAAGCATGGAGGTGCTAATATCCTGTTATTGGAGTGTTTCCCTGCAGCTGGGACTGAGCAATTGTCAGGATAGAAGGAAAAATGGATGGGGCAAAATAGCGTCAATTACTTGAGGAAAATCTGCTGCCCTCAGAAAGTTAGCAATGTGAAGAATGTTTACCTTCCAACATGACAATGACCCAAAGCACAGTAGAAATGACCACACAGTGGTTGAAGGAGGAAAAGGTAAATATCCTTGCATGGCCTAGTCAGAGCCCAGACTTAAACCTCATTGAAAATCTGTGGAATGGCTTGAAGACTGCAGTCCACAAATGGTCAAGTTTAACTGACCCTGAGTAGTTCAGTAAAGAAGAGTGGGCAAATATTGCAAAGTCTAGATGTGCAAAGTTAGTAGAGACATATCCCAAACAGACTAAAGGCTGGAATTAACTGCTTTCCCTGCA